AAATCAAAAGGATTAGTGGTGCTATTTGGGTAATAATGTGTCAACAAAATTTTAATAACTATTAAGTAATTTATTTTACAGATCCAAAATAAATTCAAAAATAAACATTAAATTAATATTAACTAAACATAAATATTAAAAAATATTTATTGAAATCATTTTCTCAAATGAAAATTTAATGAAGAATACGTATTGAATAAATATTAAATAAACATTGTATAAATGTTTACTCAAATCATTATTTCAAATGTAAAATTAACGTTAAATAAATATTTAAAAAATATTAAATAAACATTATACAAATGTTTACTCAAATCATTTTCTCAAATGTAAGATTAATGACAAATAAATGTTTGAAAAATATTAAATAAACGTTTAAAAAATGTATACTAAAATCATTATTTCAAAAGTAAAATTCACGTTAAATAAATATTTAAAAAATATTAAATAAACGTTTAAAAAATGTATACTCAAATCATTATTTCAAATGTAAAATTAACATTTAATAAATATTTTAAAAATGTTAAATAAACGTTTAAAAAATCTATACTCAAATCATTATTTCAAATGTAAAATTAACGTTAAATAAATATTTAAAAAATGTTAAATAAACGTTTAAAAAATGTATACTCAAATCATTATTTCAAATGTAAAATTAACGTTAAATAAATATTTAAAAAAATATTAAATAAACGTTTAAAAAACATTTTTTAGAAATTATTATTCTAAACGAATATTTAATAAAAAAAAATATTAAATAAATGTTAAATAAATATTTTTTCCAAAATGAGTTCAGGAAATGAAAAAAAAACATCAAAAAAACATTTAAAAAACATTTAAAAAATATTGTGTGCTGATTGGGCGGCGATCCTCTCTAATTGTAGGCAAATCGGGTTTATTGGCAGCAGATTGTGCTAATTGAAAGCTCTCGCTCATCCGTTTCTTAGAACGCAGGAAGTCTTAAATCTACTATTTAATTAAATTATTGCCCCTGATATCGCTCGTCGCTTCCGGCGGCTAACTTTGACATTTTCCACGAAAGAAAAGAATCGTGGAGTCCTCAGGACGTAACATATTATTATGTCTCAAAAATTATTCAAGATAAAAATGTTATTTTAAATATAATATTAATATCATAAAAGCAATTCAAGAGGGAGGGCAGCATTTCAAATGACTTATGTATTAAAAACTATGTATGTTTTAAAATGTTTAAATGTTTAAATTATGTTTTATGTTTATGTATTAAAAAATAAGAGTGGAGGTCTATTGGAGAAACCATTATAAACAAAATGCACCGTGCTGTTTATCGCAAGGTGATGTGGAAATGATTATGTTTTGTCATAAATGGAAAAACATTTTTCAATCGATATGTGTGATACAACTAGTACCAATATACAACTAGTTTTATAACAAAAGTGTCAAGTTATGATTTTAATGAAATTTTGTGCACATAGGTTACGTAAA